ACCACTGTTAGGCCTCTGGTGTGTAGTAATGTGGAGTCCTGTAGCTCAGTGGTTAGAGCCCTCGCCTCGCAAGTGAGAGATCTGGAATCGATTCCCAGCAGGGCGAAATGTTGGGCAAGTTTCCTTACTCCACATGCCTGTTTACCTAGCAGTAAGTAGGAACCCAGTTGTTAGTTGACTGTTGGATCGTTTTTCTGGGGGTAATAATTCCTTCAAAAAAAAATTATAATAAATTGGTCACTTCAATCCACGACTGTTTGTGGGACACTGCTGTGCGCAATTGGCTGCCGTGTTTGGTCCACAAAATATAGTCAATTCACTTTACAGTATATTCTGTGAAGAGCTTTGAGACATCTCAAAGATGTGATAAAGCGCTATAAGCGCTATACAAGGATTATTATTATTAATAATGTATCAATGTAGGTGAATGCAGCAGCCAATTTGCACCCAGTAGTGAACACAAACAGCCCTGAGGTGAATGACCACTTTTAATTGAAGGATTATTGGCAAGAACACAGGGAGAAGCTACCTTCTCTTTTTTGAGTAGTGTCAAGGAATCTTTAACATCCACCTGAAGAGGCAGACAGGACTCAGTTTTAACATTTCAACCGAAGGGCAGTGGGATTATTGTAATGAAGAATTGTTTTGCTGTTAGGTTTCTATTTCTAATTAACTTTACAATTAATGATTTTTAACCATATCAGCTAATTATGCAGACTCCTAGAATGTGTTATATTTGATGGACAATAAATGTAACAAAAAGATTAATGTAAAGTGCAAATGTATTACATTGGCCCTGCCACCATTGCTGTTCTAAATGTAGAAATAATTTGTAACTACTCGGTCCTCCTCCTTGTTCAATCCTCTCCACTGCATTTGAATTTAATTTCTAATTTGAATATAATTGAGTTTTATTTTTCTAAACGATGATGTGTGGTGTGCGAACCCAACACATGCAAAATCAGAGTGAGATTAGCCAACAGATGGCAAGAGGGGAATGAGAACATGAGAAGGAGCAGCAGGTGGAGAGATTGAGAAATAGAGAGAGTGACTGTGCAGACAGAAACTTCTCTCGGATACTTTTTACATACAGGGAGCCAAAACAGGCAGGATGCTGATGCAGCTAGTTTCAACTGTGCTGAGATCGTCTGGGAGTAGCAAGAGCAGGAAGAGATCAGTTATCTATTAAAAACTTAACCTCTAAAATAACTACAGCAGGAAGGTAAAGGTTTGTTGTTGCGTCTTTTCTGTAAGTTTGATACTGTCTGAGACTAGCGTAATTATATCAACAAATAAATATATATATTTTGATTAAGTAAAAATTATATAGCACCTTATCACGTCTTTGAGACGTCTCAAAGAGCTTCACAGAACATAAGGTAAAGAGATGACGTAAAAAGACCAGAGTTCCCTTTGCTCCTCTCAGCATCGTCCTGCAAGACAGTGTTCAAGCAAATGCTGGTGTCCACAACCAGTATGGATATGATTCAACATTTGACACAGCTCCCCCTGTACCTTCCAATCAGTACCTTAAAGAGTTTGTTGCAGAGCATTGGATTAGTCCAACAATGGCACCAGCCCAGACAGCCCCTCCAGCTTTAACTGATGGCACACTTTAGCTCGTGGAAAAACAATTTGGAATAGTTGCCGTGTATTTCCAATCCCTAGGGAGTGATGCAACTCACTGAACCTGTTAATTTCCCTAAATAATCCTATTAGTCTCAGGTTGATCTTGACCATAAATTACTTTTACAATAGTCTCATCTTGCTCTGAGGAAGTTTCTAGTACCACTTTAACAGCTCTCTGCTTTTGCCCAATAGAATTCCTTATTCTTTCAGTTACTTTACCAGGTTCTTCCTTCAAGGATGAGTGTCTAATAGACTGTAAGTTCAGTATGTTTATGATCTCAGATGTGGAAGCAAAAAAGATATTGGCTACTTCACCTGTCATCGAGCCCACGCTGTTAGTGGTCGCACAGATCAAGACTTCATGCTTGTCAATATCTTTCATGTGACTTGAATATCTTGGCACAATTACTTGTAGCATAAGGGGTATCAGCTATTCCAATCTGTCAATTACCCCTTGTTACATGTTCATCACCTTGCCCAAGGTGTTCAATGTAAAAATATTTTATTACATAACATATTAAATAGTTTATTTAATAATAATCTGCTGAAAACAGCTTGTGATGTAATACTACTTGCTTCATTGTGCTATCTTCAGGTTGAATGTCACAATCAGATTTATTATCCTTATGGCATCACTATTTCAATTGCAAACTGCTTTCAAAAATAAACTTCAGAAATATTTACTATTTGCAATAACACCACCCTTTACATAAAAGATAACATCTCGGAATCTGACACTTTAGGTTAGTGTTAGAACATCATAAACAAGCAACAACTATTAAGATTAATATCAAACTTAAATGCTGCTTATACAGCAACAAATGACCAACCAGACTGTTCTCCTCATGGGGAGGGGAAGGGGAGCTCAGTCTGAGCTGAATACGCTTGGAGCTGAACTGCTCGATAATGACATTCTTGGTAATGGAATGTTGGAATCGAGTCAATCCTCCTGTGGTAGTCTGAGTCAGGGATTGCAGCACTCTAGGGAGTCCTACAACTTAGTGGTAAGCAATTGAAAAGAGATGAGAAAGACCAGAGCTCCCTTTGCTCCTCTCAAGAAAGGAGTCCTATAGCTCAGTGGTTAGAGCACTCGCTTTGCAAGCGAGAGACCTGAGTTCAATCCCAGGCAGGGCGAAACCTAGGGCAAGTTTCCTTACTCCACACGCCTAATAATAATCCCTCCAAAAACAATAATAAATTGGTCATTTTCAATCTACGAATGTTTGTGGGACATTGCTGTGCGCAATTGGCTGCCGCGTTAGTCTACAAATATACAGTCAATCCACTTTAGTGTGTTCTGAAGCGCTTTGGGACGTCCTCCCGACGTGAAAAGCGCTATATCAAATGCAAGGATTATTATTATGAGAGTAGTCCTGCAAGACAGTGTTCAGGCAAATGCTGGTGTCCACAACCAATATGGATATGATTCAACATTTGGGGCAGCTCCCCCTGTACCTTCCAATCAGTACCTTAAATGGTTTGTATTTTCAAGGGTTTGATACATGGGCAGGGCAAAACGATGGGCAATTTTTCTTACTCCACACACCTGCTTCCCTAGCAAAAGTAGGAACCGGTTGCTAGTTGATTGGCGGATCACTTTCTGGGGATAATAATCGCTTACAATTTGAAATAAAATAATGTGGTCACTCAATCCATGACTGTTTGTGGGACACTGCTGCGTGCAGTTGGCACTGCTTTTCACCCACAAAATATAGAGTAACTCAGTTTACAGTATATTCTGTGAAGCGCTTTGAGACGTCTCAAAGATGTGATAAAGCGCTATATCAAATGCAAGGAATATTATATTTAGAGGGCCAGACCATTCACTGGCAGCATGGTATTATTCCTGTTCAGCTATTGTGAAAGCCCTAATAGGGCAACAGAAGATTGCCAGACATTGCTAGGCATGAGGAACTCCAGGAAGAGAGTGCATATTCCATTTAGAGCTAGAGAAATTTGAATGCAGGCAGCATCCACATGTGCCACGCACGGTCTGTTCTGAGATGCTACCCAGCCTGAAAGGCGCTATATAAATGCAAGTTGTTGGTTTGTATACTCTTAAACATGGTGTTAGCTCTTCACCCAAAACAAGATTAGACCAAAAAAAGAAAATTAGTCATTCACTTCACGGATGTTTGTGGGATATCGCTGTGCAAATTTGCTGGCACCGCCTTCCACCACCTCCGAAATATCGCCAGACTACAGCACTACCTCACCCCTCAAGCTGCTGAAACTCTGGTCCACGCCTTTATCACCTCAAGGCTGGACTATGGGAACTCTCTCCTCGCCGGCCTTCCCGCCACCTCCCTCCACAAGCTGCAGGTCATTCAGAACTCTGCAGCTCATGTGCTGTCCCGCACCAGACTTCGGGACCACATCACTCCCACCCTCGCTCGCCTCCACTGGCTCCCCATCCCCCAGAGGATCGAATTCAAGATCCTCATCCTCACCTACAAGGCCATTCACGGCCTCGCTCCCTCCTACCTCTCCGACCTACTATCCCCCTACCTACCTGCCCGTACCCTCCGTTCCTCTGGCTCCAGTCTGCTCCACATCCCCTGTCCCAACCGCCCTACCATCGGTGGTCGGGCCTTCAGCCTCTCAGCCCCTCGGCTCTGGAACTCCATCCCCAGTGCCTTCACCGCCTCCTCCCTTTCCTCCTTCAACGCCAATCTCAAGACCATTTCCCCCCAAGGCTCGGGTCCCGACCCAACTGTCCAGCGCCTTGGGACGTCCTCCCGACGTGAAAGGCGCTCTATAAATGCAATCTTGTTGTTGTTGTTGTTGCCTCCACGTTCACCTATATATGAACAGTCACTACGCTTAACAGAAAACTCTGTGAAATGCTTTAAGGTGTTTCAACAAAAGATGGTATCTCAAACACAAGGATTATTTATTAATACTACGTGCAAATACAATGCCATTCAGGTGAGTCAGTAGCTCCTGTCACCGTGTTCATAAACACGACTGTCAGAGTTAGGTTTCCTTCTCTCACAAAACCAGAGTCCTGACCACAAACACAGCGGGAGAGAGAAAAAAAGAACACTTTTAATTCACTGCTGACCGAATATTCCAGCTTTTCTCTGGATTATTTTCAGCCTCGTGGAAAGTGGGTGTCAGGATTGATGTTTAGGAGCTCACAGACACTTTGCTGAGACCTGTGGTCAGGGACGCGGCGCTGTGCAGTCTGTGGAGTGCGGTACAGGACAGTGACGGTGTGGGGGGGGCGGAAGGAACATGTTTGATGGCCGCAATTACAAACTCCACCTCATCGATTTATTCTCCCAACGAACGCATCATTCATTACCACATCTTCTTTGAACTCCCCGCCACCACCGCCCCCCCCTCCCTCAAAACAAACCGACTCTTACCCATCCTCGGGCAGACACCGGGCGCTGACCGGACTCCCCGCCCAGCGCTCAGCCCGCGGAGGGCGGCTCACCTAAAAAAGGAAGAGTGAATCGGAAATCGCGGAGGCGGCGGAGAGTGAAAGGGAAGGGGGCCGGGGTTGGAGAAAGAGAAAAGGCTGGAGTTCGGGCTATCGGAGCCGGTTGGAATCCCGCTCCGGGTTTTTAGGTCGACATCCCCCTCGCCCACCGACCTGGTGTGTGTGCGCGCGCGGCGGCTGTCGGGGTTTGAAGCGGCGCGAGAAGCGGACGTTAGTAACGGTCGCCACCACCAACAACCGGGTTGGGGGCGTTTGGTATCGCTGACGGTTCATGAGAGTTAGCTGTGATTTGCGTGTCGGAGCTGGGTAAGTCCTGCCTCCTCCTCACACCCTCAGGGTCACCGTGTACTTACTGTACGGGGTTGGTACCCACTCTGGTCTGTGTGTGTGTGTGTGTGTGAGAGAGAGAGACAGGAGGCCTAACTCGCCTCGTTATTTGTTTAATCTATTTGTGGCGATGGGATGGAAAGCAGCCCCTGTGCCTGGCACTGCGCCCGGGGCTGACAGACAGACAGACAGACTGACTGACTGCGAGGGGTTACCCGCGGGCACAGAGCACAGCGGTTTCCCGGTAAAAGACTCGCTGATGGGCCTCGGGCAGGTTACCCGGGAAGCCGCTGTGCTCTGTGCCCGGCGGGCAACCCCACGACGGCTTTTTTTGACGAGCTGCGCAGCCTCCCTCCCTCCCTCCCTCCCTCCCTGTCTGCCTGTCAGTCTGTGCTGCTCCAAACAGGGTCACCGCAATCAACGTGCGCAGCTTTTTGATTTATCTGATTTTTTTTAAAAAAGTTTAAAAATATATAATCTATATAATGCAAAGCTATTGTATATGTATTGTAGACTGTGTATATTGTATTGTAGCGGCTTTGTTCTGCTTCTCCAGTGTGGAAGAAAGGGCCCAGTGAGGCCGCCTTGACAACCACAGGGGGGTTTCTGATTAGTTACTGTTGCTGTCATTCTCCCTCTCCACTTTCTTTTGGAGTTGAAGCGGCGTGTTTCTCCCCCCCCCCCCCCCCTCCCCCCCCACCACCACCACCTCTCAAGAAATACTGTTTGAATGACGGTGAACTGCTGCTGGTTTTAAAAATAATAAATGTATTAATCAGATTTCTACAGGTTGGCCACAGTGAAACACATCCTTAGTTAAACGGCGATTTGGTTTGGCCCACTGAACCTCTCAGCACTATACTCGCACTGTATTGGAGCATGCGGATGAATATTTTGTATGAGGTGTAATGTTCTTGATTGTTAATTTTATATGAATTTTAGTAAAACTAAAACGAGTGAAGTCAAAGAAATCTATTGAGATAACTTTAGAAGAAAACAAAGCAACGTAAGTTCTTGTGTGAAACTTTATCAGTGCTTTTATTTATGTTTCCAACTCATCCAGGACACTAACAGGAAATAGAAGTCTGCATTGCAAATTTCATATCGAGTTACAAATACAGTATTTGTTACTTGATAACAGATGAAAGGCATTTTTTTGGTATAAAAGCATATTATTTGTATAGTTGCATTATTTTCAGGAGTGTGTAACTTATGAAGAAAAGTATTTAGTTTGCAGCTAAATGTTTTGGAGATATGCAAATGAATAATTGTCTGTCAGCCATCATTTCTGGTATTTTGTGGTGAGATAAGGAGGAGAGAAAGCAAAGGTTAGCAGTTGTAGGTCATGAAACTATTGCAATACAGTTTGTTGTAATTATTTGGTTGCACTCCTGACTGGTGTGACCATGCTGTATTTCTATTTCAATGTTTGGGCTCCAAATTTATGGACCTGGAACTAATTTCCAGGTCACTGTCGGCATTCTTACCCGCACCAAACTCCGCTCCTCGATAACCCCAGTCCTTGCCAGACTGCACTGGCTGCCTGTCCCAGAGAGGATCGATTTCAAGATCCTTACCTTTGTCTTCAAATCCCTCCACTCCTCTGCACCCTCCTACCTCTCTGACCTCCTCTGTCCTCAAAACAATGCCCGTTGCTTCACGCAAATAGGTGGCAGATGAAGTATAATGTAGGGAAGTGTGAAGTCATCCACCTAGGTGGCAAAAACAGTAGAGTAGATTATTTTTTAGAAGGGGAGAGACTAGTTAGTGTTTGCGTTCAGAGGGACTTGGGTGTCCTTGTACACCAGTCACAAAAATTAGTTTGCAGGTACAGCAAACAATTAGGAAGGCTATCGGTATGTTGGCATTTGTTACAAAAGGGTTAGAATATAAGAGGAGGGAAGTCTTGCTGCAACTGTATAGGGCCCTGGTGAGACTGCACCTAGAGTATTGTGTGCAGTTTTGGTGTCCTTATTTAAGAAAGGATGTACTCGCCTTGGAGGGGTACAACGTAGATTCACTAGGTTGGTACCTGGGATGAGGGGGGTGAGTTATGAGGATAGGTTGAGCAATTTAGGCCTATATTCTCTGGAATATAGAAGAATGAGAGGTGATCTTATAGAAACCTATAAGATTATTAAGGGGTATGACAGAATAGATAGTGAGAGACTTTTTCCCCTGGTTGGAGAAACTATAACCAGGGGTTACAGTCTTAAAATTAGGGGTAAGCTCTTTCGCATGGGCCACCAGTTGAACCATTTCTGATCTAAATCATGAGCAGCCAGAACAGCAGTAAGCCTGAAATTTAGCATAGTAGCAGAGATGTATTGCTGGGTTATGAAAGCTAATTCCATGTTTTTAGAATAAGTTACGAAGTGCCAGCAGGGAAGAATTGACAAGAGTATGGAATGTTTGGCTGTTAAAGCAAATTCAATTGGCACATTTAAAAGAGTATATGGAATGTTTGTCTATCAGAGAAACATGTGGACAAAGGCATTGGAGAGTTATGAGAAACAGCAGGAAATTGGGAATTTGAATGCATGGCTTGTTGGAGGTGCAAATGCCAACACATAATTATGAGCCAAATGGCTTCCTGGTGTGTCATACATCTCTATGGTTCTGTGTGGATAGAGTTAGAGATTTCTGTATAGAAATTAAGATCACAAGATTGAAGAAGGTCCTTCGGCCCATCTGATTTTATCCCTCCAGACCACCTATCCTACCATTCTCCCCCCATCATTGCATCAGGCTGCTTTTAAATGAAGCTAATGTCCTGGCCTTTACCACCTTAATGGCAACCTGTTCCAGTCGTTGATTACCCTCTGCATTAAAGAAAAATGTCATAGTCACTGTCCTGAACTTTTACAACTTATACCTATGTCCTTTTATTCTACTGTCCTGATGCATCCTAAAGTCTTGATTGGGGTTTACTTTTTTGATCACATTGGAAAATTTTGTACATCTCTACAAGGTCCCCTGTGAGTCGTCTCCTCTCAAGACCGAAGAGCCCTGCTTGCTCATTCCACTAACACTGTAGATCATCCTCTCTTCTCTCTTCTGCATTGCCTTTAGGGCCTGCACAGCCTTCTTGTGTCACAGTGACCAGAACTGTGTGCAGTATTCAAGATGTGGTCTGACCAGAGCAACAGCAACAACAAGATTACATCTTTACAGCCTAAGAATGATATCTGGGATCTAAACTTGATTTAGTAATGAAGACCATCATCCTGTTTGCCTTGTTTATTGCTGCTTCACTTTGTTTTGACATCGTGAGTGACGAATCAACTGACACCTGTAAATCTCTTTCAGCTTTCCCCTTGGGAAATTCAATCCCATTCATGGAGTACTTATGTTTTCTATTCTTGGATCCTATATGTAGTATCTTGCATTTATCAGTCTTAGACTTCATTTGCCTTAATCGCCTAAGTTGTATGTGCACCCAAGTCCCATTTAGTTTCCTATCAAAACCACTTAGATTTCTTTGCACTAGTTGTCTTTATCAACTCCTAACTTGTATCATCGCTACCCTATCCTCCATTACTCCCACACTTACCGGCTGCATTTTATCACGGGAAATGATGTCCCGACCTTGCTGGCTGGCTGCATTGAATCGTAGGAAACACAGTCTTGATTTTTCACCTCATGGGAAAAAGAACTTAATTTCCTACGATTTCAATGCTTGCCAGTAAGTGCACATGGGGTCACAGGTCAAGATTTATTGAATCATGGGAAGCATAGTCTTGACCTGTCACCGTATGAACACTTACAGTCACTTGCAGTGATGAAGTACCATATGTGCACCATATGTGATGAAGTACCACATGCAAATTTACTGGCTGCATTGAATATGCACTTGCAGTGATTAGATTGGATTTTTTTCTGATTTACCCAAGTTTGTCTGCAACTCGTACTTCTGTAAGTCATATTAAATGTTATGGTCTCGATTAATATGACTTCTGTGAGTTTCACTACATTAAAATAATTTTGTGTGTTTGTTTTGGATTTGCTACTTTGACCCTTCACAGTTCTCTCTTGACTTGACCTTAATCTCTCTTTTTAACCTTTTTCTGTACTGTCTTTTATTCAGCCTAATGTTCAATCTCTCTTTTCTCCCTACAAGCTTTATAAATCTTTTCCTTACCTCTTTTTTAATTTTCCTATTGAGCCAATTGTACGAGAAGGCTAATAGGAGTAGAACCAACAGGAAGACTTGTTGATAGAGGTGAATGGTGTGATCAACTATAACAAGGGCAGCAAATGGTTTGAAGAAAGATAATGAGCCCTGATTGAAGTTTCATAGAATGTCATTGGTGACTTGACTAGGTTTTCTTGGGCTTGTGAGCAGGTTGAAAGTCTGAGGAGAAGCGCTCGAATGTGGAATAGTAAGTGAAGTGAGCACATTGGGTGATGATGGCTCATTCTAGTATCTTGTTGAGAGAGCAATATGTGAACGATAATCTGAGAAGAGGATAAGATTTTTAAGAAGAACATAACAATGTAGACGAGCATTTGGGCTGAGAAAGTGTAGTGCAATCAAACTGGGGTTCGTAGGTGGTCTGATATATATAATAATAATAATAATCCTTGTATTTGATATAGCGCTTTTCACGTCGGGAGGACGTCCCAAAGCGCTTCACAGAACACACTGTAAAGTGAATTGACTGTATATTTGTGGGCGAACGCGGCAGCCAATTGCGCACAGCAATGTCCCACAAACAGTCGTAGATTGAAAATAACCAATTTATTATTGTTTTTGCTTTTTGGAGGGATTATTATTAAGCGTGTGGAGTAAGGAAACTTGCCCAAGGTTTCGCCCTGCCTGGAATTGAACTCAGGTCTCTTGCTTGCAAAGCGAGTGCTCTAACCACTGAGCTACAGGACTCCATATTCAACAACAACTTGAATTTATATAGTGCTCTTCACACCGGATGGCTTTTCAGAACGCTTAACAGTGGCGGAAACTGATATCGAGCCGGGGGAGGGGCAAGGTAACCATAGGCACGGTCGAAGAGGAAGGTTTTGAAGCATGATTTGAAAATGAGAAGAGAGGGGGCAAGGCGAAGGGATTGAGGGAGAGAGTTCCACAGCTTTGGGGTGTAGTGGCTGAAAGCATGGCCGCTGATGGTGGAGCGGAGTGTCTGGGGGACAAGGAAGAGGCCAGAGCCAGTTGAGTGGACGCACCAGGTAGTAGTGTAGGGAATGAGCAGATTGGAGAGAAAAGCGGGAGTCAGGGCGTGAAGGGATTTAAATACAAGAGTAAGGATGGTGAAGTCAATCCGCTCTGTGGCAGGGATTCAATGGAGTTTGACAAGGACTGGGGTAATGGAGGTACGGAGTTTAGTGTGGGTGAGAATGTACAAAGTGGAGTTTTGAATTAGTTGAATTTTGTGAATATTGGAGCAGTGGAGATCAGCGAGGAGGGTAGTTGAGGTGGGAGGTGACAAGGACTTCGGTAGCTTGTGGAGCGAGGTACGGATGAAGGCGAGCAATGTGACGGAGGTGGAGGAAAGTGGTCCTGATGGACTGGATGGCTTGCCAGTTAATGTCCAGACATACAAGCTGATGACATTGAATCCGTGTCAGATATGCAGTGTACAATATTGCATATTTCGAATAATGTAAAGGTTGTATGACTATTCTAATTCACTAATATTTTCCTGGATGTCAGATAACAAAAGGATTTTTTTTTGGCTGTCATTTTAATCCTGTATGTGATTGTATGGATTGATGTCAACTAATTTGAACCAAAGTGCTTGTATTCTGTGTGACTCATTGCTATTCAACTCATTAAGGACTTTGTCCATGGCAACAACATTCTGAAGAACAGTAGTTTTTTCCATAGTCCACATAATGCATATGTGACTCAATTTAAAAATTATTTATGGTTCTGAATATTGGTGGATTATTATTATCCTCGTGTGCCTGACTTTGTCACTGGTAATCTATTCAGATTTAATTGTTGGGCTAATCCCTCAATTCATTGATTTTTGCCAAATATCTTCTGTGTCATGAGATGAGCTCAGATTCCCATTTTCTAGCTAAGTACTCTTTGCAAACTAAATGTTTATTGAGTTTTATATTTTTCAGAGACGTTTGCATGACATGGTTTCACAATTCAGAATTATGGACAGTTAATTTGTGAATATATTTGTGGATGAAGAGAAAAGTGGACACTTGATTTGTGCATATACAGTATATTTCATCTTTAAAAATGTATTTGTTCTATAGCTGCTGTAGTTTTGTGAAACCAGCTTGTTTGTTTCATTTCAGTAGACACATAAAATTAACTGTAGAAAAAGTAAAATTTTCGAGACTTTTGGATATAATGTTTCAGCAATTACAACTTCAAATTTGATCAGAAAGAAGGTACAGTTTTGTCATGTGTTTCCACAGAAATTATGGATAATTTTTGAAGTTGCAAATTTATCTTGAATGTTTCTTTTGAAGTTGAGTTTGGATGGAAATCTGATCCACTACACATTCTGTTATGTTAATTATGTTAGTTAATTTCGCCCAGAAAACATACATTTTACAATATATGCTGTGAAGCTGTGAAGCGCTTTGAGATGTCTCGAAGACATGATATTATAATATAATCCTTGCATTTGATATAGCGCTTTTCACATCTTCTAGACATTTCAAAGCGCTTCACAGAATATGCCGTAAAGTGAATTGACTGCATATTTGTGGCAGCCAATTGCGCACAGCAGTGTCCCACAAACAGTCATGGATTGAAAATGACCATTATTATTGTTTTTGTTTTTTTGGAGGGATTATTATTAGGCGTGTGGAGTCAGGAAACTTGCCCAAGGTTTCACCCTGCCTGGAATTGAACTCAGGTGTCTCGCTGGGTTCCAATTGTGAAAAAATCAAAAATCCAAGTTGAATTTGGAAACCGGTTGTTTTTAAGCAAAGTCTGGGGAGTGAGCATTACCACAGACACGATGGGGAGAGAGCAGGGAATGGTGTTAGAGTAGAGAGCTTCAGAGGGAAAGCAAGCACCAGCACAGGCACAAAGGGCACTTCTTGCCTTATTCTTTCCATTGGGTGAACAGACCAAGCGCTATATAAAATAGATAAGGTGCTATATAAAATGCAAGGGTTATTATATTATTCCAATAATGTACATGGCATTGGACTTGGACCTTGAGATCATCAAGGTCCACAACCTAACTGACTATAAAACAAATCCTTCTAATCTCCTGCTTTGCTTATTTGCTAATTATGTTAATTTAATGCCCTCTTGTCACTGACAATGGCCAATGCGATCATTTCTCTCTGTCTCCTCACATCAAAACCTCTCATAATTTTAAAGACTTCTGTCAGGTCTCCCCTCAATGCTCTACTTGACCTTTGGGCCGGGTAAAGCATGCCTAGTCCCCCTGCAATGACAGAGTGCAGCGCTCAGTGAGTGCCTGGACCACATCTCCTGTTGTGCACTTCGGTTGCCAGTGACTGACAGCATTTGGTTTGTTTGTTTATGTCAAAACCTGATTATATTGACAAAATCGGCTCAGACTCAGTGATATTGATATGAACAGGTAGAACTGTACTACCACTTATGTCGATAAGCCCTTATCCTCACACGTGACATGTGAGTCAATGAGTGAATGATTGGGTGAGTATGGCATTGAGTACAAGTAATTGCACATGATTTCGTGTGACATGTGGGTGTTTGTGCCATGTGTTAGGTTAAAGTAATTAAAGTAGTCGTATTACAATCCGAACAATAGAGCGGAAAGTCCAGAAAAGAAGTCTGCAAAATCATCTCTGTAAAGCATAATACCCTACGTGGTTGCTTGAAATCACATAAAGGCCAAGTACGAAACAGAGACATACGCATTGCAGATGAAGAAAAACTGCAAAGTATGAAGATGTTGAGGATATATTAGTTATGTGGTTTAATGGTAAACTTGCTGAAAATCCTACCATTACAATTGATCGTGATGTGACGTTCATTGAGCAGGCCAAAGCTTTTGCCAAACAGCTAGGCATAGAAAATGTCACCACCAGCATCTGTGGTTTAGTCTCTTCAAGGCTCAGCATGGTCTTGTGAACAAAAACATTTGCATTGAGGTTACGTCTGCGGATATGTATCACCTCAAGGAGTGGAAGTCCCATCTTCAGCAAATTCTGTGAGACCACAATTTGGACCATATTTACAGAAGACCACTTTGTTTTTTAAGTGTACCCTGAGCAAAACTTAAAGGATATTAAGGGACACCAGTGTACTGAGGCTAAACGACCTAATGATAAGGTTTCAGTTATGGTCACCACCAACATGATTGGAACGGATAAGCTACAGTTTCTTGTACCCTGGACAAAACTGCCACCTCCTTGTTTTTTAATATTCTATGACCCTATTATCCGCTTTCTTCACAGGTTTGTTCACCATGAACTTTCATTGTTTAACGGAAGTATTAGTGTCCTCTCCAAACTTGAATAAAACTCTCCTCTATTTCCAAATGCTCCTATTTTCTGTATCCCAACTTTCAGATTATATGTAGAATGAAAAGCTGAGGCCCAGAAACTTAATGTTGTGTTTTGTTTCTTAAATTACTTTTAGTTATACTTATTTGGAAAAATGTGTGTATACTCTTACACTTCTTAAAAAATATATGCTTTGATCTCACCTCCACCTTCAACTGTTTGCCTAGAAACACTCACTATACTTGATAATTACATGTGAAGCTCTTTGAGAAGTTCCTGTGTTTTAACAAATGCAAGGATGATTATTTATAATTGTTGGTTTTGAATATATGCATTTGCTGCTCTTGGATATCATTGCACAAACAGGGCCAGTGCATTCAACACAATTAACATAGCTTTCTTATTTTAATGCCTAATTCTCCTTTAAACTGAAAATCTATAGATCTTATTACGTTTGTGCCTCTTTATTTTGCAGACATTTCCTTAAAGTTAAGTGTAAGTGTAGATTAGAACAGATGGGGGCAACAGCTTTTCTCTGAGCAGGTAGTCAAATGAAAGTATGTGCAGCACAGATTCCTGTTTGTTTTATATAAACTCTACATACTAGTTAAAGGAAGTGTGGAGTGTGGAGGATGCTATTCTCCTGTTTCCAATTCCTTTTGACAATCGCAATGCCTTAATGATTAAATGACACACCTTGGATGCATGAGAGTAGTTGTGTTAAGATTTTTTTTCTTCTTCACTAGGGACAGCATTCATCATGTTAAAGTGAAGGAAAAGAGCTCAAAATTGAACATGCTAAAACGATTTGACAAAATAAGATTTAGAGGACAGAAGCGAGATGAAATACTTGATCTAGCAGAGTCTCCCAATACATCAGATAATGAATGTACTGACGAAATTACAATGAAACCACCTCGCTGCTCTGTGAAAGATTCTGAAGAACTGAAGGACCCTGTAAGTATTCTATGTTATAAATAAATCCAACCTACATTGTTCTGTTTGGTATATCAATGTTTAATGCTTTTTGCTGATAAGGTGAATAGTTTTCATTATTTATTATAAATAATGTGGAGGGATTTTGGTCCAAAATAACTTCAAAGCAACCCCCACGCCCCCTTCCCCCACTGTGGTGCAGTGCTGGGAATGTGTTACATTGTTGGAGCTTCCCTCCTTTGGATGCAATGTTGAGCTGAGGTCCCACATGCCTGTTCGGGGGGGGGGGGGGATGTTGAAGCTGTTTGAGAAGAGAAGGAAGTTTCTCTCTCTTGGTTTCCTGGCCAACAATCTCCCAAATAAAATTGGTCATTCATTCCATCCGTGTTTGTGGAACATTGCTGGGTCCATTGTGCTGCTGTGTTTGCCTACAAAAACATGGTCAATTCACTTTACAGTATATCCTGTGAAGCATTTGAGATGTCCTTCTGACGGGATGAGGCTCTATACCAAACGCGAGGATCATTATTATTATATTTTACATATATATATAAAGTTGTATTTGAAAATCACTCTGCTTGCTATGGGTTTTTATGACAGAGAAAAATGGGTCAGCAAGTAGAATTTATAGTTTACCACAAATCGCTCTACCCACATACTGCAATGTGGTACATTGGCTTCCTGGAAGAGATGCTTCCCTTTGCCCGATCACTAGATTTTAACTGTAAAAGTGATCAGTCACAGAAGAGGGGCAGAAAGAAAATTGGGGTGGTGATGCGAGCTACAATATTAGAGCACCTTCGTCTTTCAGCCATCTCTGGAGCTGTGATGCTTGTTCATTCTGCCTATCCTGGCTATTTCTTTACAATATCCCTTAAGTATGCACAATTTCTGATTGGTTGGTTACTGATGTTTATTAGTGTAGATAATTGCATTTAAATAACAGCCATTGATGCAAACTATTTACTAACGGTTGATTTGACTCTGTCGTAGTTCCTTCTCTAAAAGTACAACACATTGCTGCTTCTCAAATTTTTGTATCAATGTGGCCTTTAGGGGAATACAAGGTCCTAAAATACTTTCTTGAAAAATAACATATTTGGATTGAATTCTTCAATGGAGATGCCTGTGACAGCTGTTAAGTTTCACTGATTTATCTAAACACATTTACTCTCTTCGTAACCAATTTGATATGCAAAAAGTAGTAGTGTGCTTCATTTGTATCTCAAACATATTTTATTGATGACCAGATGTGAACAAAACTACTTTTGTAAGGCTTAAATTTATTCCCAATTATTTTCCATGAAGACAATTATGGCCCAAACCTAATGTTCCCCAAAACAATCTGGGAGGGGCTCCTGAGTAATGATCCTTGGAGCTGTGCTTGGTAGATATTCATTTTTTTCACTAGAAATGTAGTGGGAAATCTTTGGATTTATTTTGAAAATATGTATAATAAGAAGAAATTATATCACAGTTCCACAATTATTGAAAATAAAATTGTGCATCTTCTTCTAATACATTGTGCAGTGGCAGGACTCTGATTTCTGACCAAAGAAACCTAAAAGTAAGAATTCAGATTTTGGAAGGGGATTTCGCAAGGTGAAGAGGAAGAGAAGAGAAAGTGGAGCAAAGTTTGTAAAATTGGAATTGAAGGATTATTTTTCATTATCTGGGTGCCTAGTGGATATGAAAACCCATCCGCATGAACATTTCCAGTTGATCAATCATGCTTTTAAGAGATGATTAAGAAGGCAAAAAATTGGAGCAAAGTTCTTAAATTGGGAATTGAAATATATTGATTTAGTTTGTCATCTTTCTCCTTTCCAAAAGTCTGAATGAGATTCTGAACTCTTAAAATAGGCTTCTTGGATCATAAATCAGTGTCCTGCCACTACCTGATACATTAGCACCAATCTTTTGCACAGCCAAGTTTTGCTATATAAAGTTCTGTAATTGTTCTCGACTTTCCACTCTCTCCTCTTATGAAAAGTAACTGGAAAGTGGTTCCATATATATTATGCTGTCTGTTACCTCACCTAATTGATAGATTGTTTTGTAGGTTATTCGACTATGAAAGGACTCTTGGTTGAGCTTGATCCTGTCCTCGCATAACTCTTCAACAAGGGTCTTTTTGATAGGACTCAGTAAAGGGAATGCTGACTGTTTCTTCTTGAGCTAAATAGTATGTGCCCTCTTCCCATCTCTAAAAGAGCTCTACTTCCTCTTTCAAATAGCATGTTGATACCTCTGGCATTGGCTTTTATCATTATGATTATAATAATTCGTATATTTGATAGAGACTCTGGTCGGGAGGATGTCTTGAAGCCCTGCATAGGTTACACTGTGAAGTGCAATGACAGTGCTTTGTTGGTGAACACAGCAGCCAATTTACATGCAGCCAATTTGTGCACAGTAATGTCCCATAGACTGTTATGAAGTAAATTACCAATTTTATTTGGCAGATTATTGACCAGGACACCGGGAGAAACTCCCTTTTCTTTTCGACTAGTGCCATGGTATCTTTAAAGTCCACCTGAACAGGCAGATAGAACCTTGATGATTTAACGTCTCATCACTTTCAACAATGCTGCAAACCTCCAGCACTGCATTGGGGGTCTCACAACGGAAAACTATGCCGTTTTAGCAGATGTTTGTTGTACCCACACATTGTGAACTTGACACATTTGATGACCAATGTTTCCAAAAACTATTTTCACACTCAAATTTTCTGGCTGTACAATGAGTGTTACTCTGTGTTGCTCTGATACATAAGTGGTGATGATGATATTAGTTTGTTCGATAATTTATTCAAAATTAATGGACTTGCTTGAGTCTTGCAGTAACTGCTGGAGATATAGTGGACACCCACCATGCAAACTTTTTTCTTGTTCTGTTTACCATTTCTGATCAGTGTATAATACTTATCTACAATAATTTGAACTAATTTGTATATTGCATTGCTTATGTGTTAAATACCCTGTACTATCTTAACTATGCCTACTTCTTGACATGGACTGTTAAATCATATTTTGCACATTTTATAGTGTAGACAATTTAAAGGCGTTGAGGTACAAATACAGTAAGTTTTAGATTCAATCTGTTGAAATTGATATAATAATAATAATCCTTGCATTTGATATAGCACTTTTCACGTCGGGAGGACGTCCCAAAGCGCTTCACAGAACACACTGTAAAGTGAATTGACTGTATATTTGTGGGTGAACGCGGCAGCCAATTGCGCACAGCAATGTCCCACAAACAGTCATGGATTGAAAATGACCAATTTATTATTGTTTTTTGTTTTGGAGGGATTATTATTAGGCGTGTGGAGTAAGGAAACTTGCCCAAGGTTTCGCCCTGGAATTGAACTCAGGTCTCTCGCTTGCAAAGCGAGTGCTCTAACCACTGAGCTACAGGACACCACGATATCAACGCATGATGCTGTATTTTGCCACCCTTTTTGTTGAAAAATAATTCAATTATATTGGTACTCTTCCTATTAGCATGGAGTTCGATTATTTTATATTTGATAAAACTGACTCAGCTTATTTGCTTTCAAATTTCTTAATAGTGAAAAGCTCAATATTGCAAAGGATGTGGGAAGTTTTGTTTTGCATTCATGTACAATCATAGCATTAATAGCTTAAAATCACAAAAAAAGCTTATACTAAAATATTGCAAAGTTTAATGTGAAAGTGTTAACCTTTCATAATAATATAATAATATAAAATAATTTTTTTTATTGTATGCTCTGACTTCTTCAACCTCCACTGCCGCTCCCTCAAACTCACTGAACTAAAACAACCTTTGCCATGCGGTTTGATCCTCAGCTCTCCTTTCTCCCTCGCATCTGGTCTCTGTTCAAGACTGATTTTCTCCATCTCCCCCACATTGCCCGTCTCTGCCCTTATGTTCATCACCACCATCCTTGCTTCTCAGGACTCTCAGCGGATTAATTTCAGGGTCCTTGCCCTTACCTACAAAAGCCTTTATGACCTAGCACCTCCCTATCTCTCCGATCTCCTTCTGTATCACTCCTCCGCTTGCCATCTCTAGTTTTCCACCTCAGGTTTGCTGCATGTCCTCCAAGCTACTCATGTCACCAATGGTGTCCAAGGTTTCTAATTCTACACCCCAAACCTCTGGAATCCTTCCCGCAGATCTTCTGAGCTCTCCTCTCTATTTTTGAGTCCTGCCTCAAAACTGACTTCTTCGACCATGCCTATAGTCACCTTTTTTTTATCACCCATGCTCGGCATCCACATCACCTCATTCAAGGTCCGCCTAAGACCTTTCTCCTTGACTGAGCCTTTGGTCATCTTCCACTGTCATCCCCAGATTGGGTGCAAGCCCTGGACTGTCCATCAACTTGGCACCTTATCCCAAAATAAAAAGTGCTATATTAAGTACAGCTTAAGTGCTCTGAGACGCTACCTCGGGTGGAGGGCACTATATTGCAAGTTGTTGTTCTTGTAAAGCACTCCAAGAAGTTATCATAAGTGAAGGAACTATATAAATGTAAGTTGTTATATGAACTTGCAATTTTAGACTATGGCTTGACCGCATTTGCCAGTAGAAAGTGTGCTGAAAATAATGAATTGCTGCTTTTGATTGTTTCCTTAGGGAAGTTCTTTTATGCTTTGCAAAAAAAAACCTGCTGTGAAATAAAAGATCAGTTCAGAAAAAATATTTTTGTATGTGTTGAAAGAATGAATCTCTAACAATTTATGCTTAATTTCCATCTGAATATTTTGGTTTGATTTAACTGCTTAGATACCAATCCAAGGTTTACAGTGTTCAAAATAAACACACCTGGTGTTGCTATATTTGAAAACTGATTTTTTTTGTCTTTCTAAATTAGAAGAGGATTAAGAGTACCTTACATTATTATAATAATAATCCTTACATTTGATATAGCGCCTTATCACGTGTCTGTACAAAACTACTGCAGGAACATTTTACTAATCTAGAATCGTTGGTTAATGGAGAAAATAATGGTGGGAGTGATTACATAACAA